GAGAGAGAGAGAGAGAGAGAGATGGAGGGACGGAAGAGAGAGAGAGAGGGAAACACGGAGAGAGTAGGAAGAATCATGAAAGAGGGTGGAAGAAACAACAAGAGTTTGGCTCGAGAGTTGTATGTAAGAGTAAGCTCAACAAATGATACAATAATGGTTCTAAAAAGTTTATGTTCTCTGTATCGCCAGGTTCACTTTGGTGTTTGCTCTCTACTCATCTGTGATCTCTTTGGTGATTCTTTGCTGTGAAAGGTGAGTAGTAATTTGTTGTGGGTGGTTGGCAGGTGCTCTGGTGTGGTTAGCTTCTTCTTTCTTATAAAAAAACCTATCGTCTCTACCTCCCGTCCTTCTTTTTGCGTGTTTGTTACTCTCTTGTAACACCGGTAACGTTAAACACTTATATGACCTTATTGTGTTGGAAGTGCTGTAAAACTCATACTAAAACTAGTAATTTGTTGTTTCCCTTTCATCTTTATTTAAAAAGATATGATCAACAATTTCGTGTCAAAAGCAATTGAATCGTTTCGTTTGTGTTCAGATGTAATGTGAACATTATGCCAAGAATGATTTCTTTTTCTTCTTCCGTTTTCGTTTGTTGCTGTTATTTTTTTAAAAAGAGAACAGACCGCCTCGAAAGAGACATGAGGTAACATCACAAATCTTTTTGTTACAATAGCAACAACAACAACAACAACAACATAAGAAATAAAACATCAGCAGCAAAAAATGAAACACGTAGGAAGAGTAACGCGAAAAAATAATTTTCGTACAAATTATCGTACCTTTCTTGAAATTCTCACTATGCTACAAAGTAGTGACGAGAAACGCCCAAAAACAACAACAAACAAACAAACAAACAAACAAACAAACAAACAAACAAACAAACAAACAAACAAACAGACATTGAGACTGTCTTAAGTAACCACAAAAAACATAATATTTCATTAGTTGAACAAGAAAAAACCCTCGAAGAATTGTACGTATAAAAGTAACAGGAAGTCATTGGATCTCAATTTTCTGATAGAGCATAATTTTTATTATGTGACATCACCCCTTTTTACTCTATACCATCTTGTGGAAGTGCGTGAATGCTCTCCCAATCTTTCATAACTGAAAAAGACAAGGCAAGGCATTTTAGATAAACATTTCAATTATTCCTGCCTACCTTCCATTGCTAAGACACCGTATTCCCCCATCTCACCTGTAACTAGAACATGGGAACAAGAACTCATGGCTCGTCTCAAGGAGACTTTTTTGTCGAGGTTCTTTATGGTGCTTGTCTGCCAGCTATTCCACCTGTGCTACAGCTTATCCCTGCCATGACATAACGTTCTGTGCGGGAGCATTCCTTTTTCTCCTTTTTCCCGACAGTTCACTACTACTTAACTGTCCTTGAGGAAGAGAGTATTATTTACAAATATACTTTTAGCTCAGTATTGTATTAAAACTATAGTAGCAAACCGGCTTATACCTTGGGTTTTTAAAAATTTGTCCGCATGTGTATGTGTCTGTGTACGATGTGTGTATGCAAGTATGAAAGTAAACCTATACATGTTATTATAATATGTGCGTGTGTGTGTTGTGTGTGTGTGTATATATATATATATATATATATTATGTGTGTGTGTGTGTGTGTGTGTGTGTGTGTGTGTGTGTGTGTGTGTGTGTTTTGTATAAGTATGTATTTGAGAGAGATAGCTAGACAGATAGATAGATAGATAGATAGATAGATAGATAGATAGAGAGATAGAGAGATAGAGAGATAGAGAGATAGAGAGAGAGTGAGGCAGAAGGACAGAAGGAGAGAGAGAGAGAGAGAGAGAGAGAGAGAGAGAGAGAGAGAGAGAGAGAGAGAGAGCACAAGAGAGAACAAGAGAGAGCAAGAGAGAGCAAGAGAGGGAAAGAGAAGTGTGAAATTAGCTTTACAGAGATGGTTAAAAAACCGATGTTAGCTTAGAAGTGAACGACTTGGGTGGCACATAATTAGCTAGAATGCAGCAAGTTAACACCAACACCACCTCGTCCCCCGAATTGACTTAGGTTTGCTAGAAAGTTCTTCTCTGTGTATTTCTTCATGCACCAAGTTTTTAGCCACCAAAGATTAATAAACCTAATTTGAACTGGTATGCTTATGGGTTGAACCAAATCAGACAAAATCACACTTATTCAAACAGAATATTATGGCTCCTTTGTAAACTATGCCGCCTAATAGTGCAAAGTTGAAATTTGCTATCCATCGTGTTAAAGGTGAAGCTAAATGAATGGTCCAAACTTTTAATTGAGGGTTTGATTGTGTTTCGGTTCGGATTTCTCTTGCACCAAGTATTGTTTTTAAAATATAAAATAAAACTGTGAATAGACAGACTGAAAAAAAGAATTAGCAATTGAATCAAAGTTTTCCGTTATGGGGGGGGGGGGGGGGGGGGACAAAAACAACAGCACATTGATAACAAGTTTGGACAATCGTTCAATAGTATACTTTTGAATGGAACATTAACAATTATGAGAAACAATGTATTTTGGACCAGGAGGTCACATCAAGGACAAAAGGTGGCAAGGAAGCGAGTTCAAGCTACACGATTGAACCCAAGAATGCTATATTGGGTTTCTACGCCTTGCTTCGATCGCCAACTGGTTCCCTATTTAGTAGAGGCGAGATATTAAAACTTCTGATAAAATGGGCAAAATTGGAAACTCAATGAAACACGTTCATATAGGTAACAGAACACGAACAAGTAAATGGCTTATACAAGGTTTGAACTTTTCCTCAAGGATGTTTAAATATTATTGTTGTTGTTTCTTTTTTATAAAATGTATGGATCAAAATTTCTGTAAGATAAAATGTTGTATCCTCCATAGCTATTCCATTTGTTCCTACAACGTTCTTCAACTTCGCTTTTGAAAAAAAAAACCAACAGGCTACAGAAATGTAAGCAGCGATAAATTCAAAGATACACACACAAGGAATCAATTTCGATTTTTGAAACGAAACAACGGCGTTAACGCTGTTCTGTAAAGTGTGTGAACTTTCATCGTTGCTTCCAATTGATTGATAGGGCGAAATAAAACTTGTCTTATTCCAAGAAAACAATACCTGTGAGAAATCGACATCAGATGGGTTATTGACGTCCTCTTTCAGGATGTGTTAAAAAAAACCCCCAAAACCCCCCCACCAAAAATAGCTGTAAATCACACGTCTATGTAGACTGGGTTGAAGAGGGTCAGAGAGATATTAATTAGGTGTGAGCAAATACCAGGCTTTAAAAATGACATGTTGCTCGAAACGTTTTAATGCAAATGTTTGAAATGTTTTTGTTTTTTTTGGTGTTTCATTTCACTTATTTGCTTCTGTTTGATTGTTTTTTTTTGGGGGGGAGGGGGTTGTTTAGTTTGTTTGTTTGGTTGGTTGGTCGGTTAATTGTTTGTTCATTTGTTTGTCTGTCTATTTGTTTGTTTGCTAGTTTCGTTTTAATTTTTTTTTTGTTTCATGTTTTTAAAAAAAATCAAAATGTTCAAATCTTCGGCAAAGAGAAGAAAATAATTCAGGACTTCATACGTTAGTCCGCACAAAGAAATCAAAATTAAACTTTCAGTTTCCAAACTGGGCTCTTTTTTTTTTTAAATTTATATACACGAACTACAGAAAATGGGATTAAATAGTCGAGGAAAGGGATTGGGGTTATGTCGTTCATTTTATGAGTTATTCTGAACGCTACGTTGTGATTAGACATTCAGTCTGATTAGTTGTCTTTAGTTTGTACGCTACATAATGGTATAGGCGTACCAGGTAAACACAGATGTACGTTGTTTTGAAAAAATAATGAACCTTCACGCGCACGGCCTGGCGTCAATAAACAACTTGATCCGTCATATCTCACGGATCAGACATGATTCTTTGGATTTTCCTTTATATAAACATGGGAAATATGATGTTGTGTAGGTACGCACGCACGCATATACAGACTCAGACACAAAACACACAGACACACTCACAGACACACACACACACAATTACACAAAAACACACACACACACGCACACACACACACACACACAAACACACACACTCACATACGCACATATTGTATATATATATATATATATATATATATATATATATATATATATATATATATATATATATATATAATATATATATATATAATATATATATATATGTATATGTATATGTATATATATATACATATACATATATATATATATAATATATATAGTATCTTATATCTATAATGTATACAAGTTACACAACCATATGTTATTATTATAATTTTACATACTACTATTCTTTTGTTGTTGATGTTGTTGTTGGAGTTTGTTTTGTTTTTTCTTTGGGGTGGGGGTTGTTTTGTTTTTAAACTAAGATATTATTACTGAGCTCTACGAAAACTGGACTGGAATGGGTAATAATATCACCCCTCGACATTTATTTCATGCGGATCTGGGACCTGGAATCCTAGAAAACGAGTAAGATCAACAAGCCAAGCGAAGATTTACTAACATAGGTGTCCTTTCCTTCCGGGTTTCTGACTCGGGGGCGTCTAATTACCAGACTGACCAGGTTAGAAAATGCAGCCGGAAGCGATTGGTGCAGTCTGCTGGTTTACGCATGCTAGATCTGGCTAATCTTTGCGTCTGCGTAGCTAGTGCTTTTCCATGTGAGCTAAAAGGTGTTTAGATAGCGCAGTTTGGGAAGAACTGACGTCATCATAGAAGTCGGGGTGCCCCGAAAAGTTAATGCTTCTTCTAATCGCGCGTGTGTGTACATGTGCGCTTTGCTTTATACGTATCTTAAACTGCTTCGCAAAATTTTGATAATTTTGTCTAGGGTTATATTTGGTGGTAAAGGGGGTGGGGTGGGGGTGGGGTTGGGTGACCGGATAGAAAAAGGAGGCAAATTTATTATTTATTGCGTATTTCAAGATTGTCGCTAGGTGTTACATTCTTTTTTAATGTGATATACATTTTAAAAACAATATACGTGTTTATACGCAGAGAGAAAGACAGAAAGACAGATATAGAGATGGAGGTGGCAGAGAGGGCGGAGAGCGAATAAGGCAAACATTTTAATAAAGAGAAAAATAAAGAGAGCCAAACAGGACATAATAAGGAGAACATGAGAAAATAGGAGGGAGGGATAGAGAAATTAGATAGAGAGGGAGAGAGAGAGAGACAGAGAGAGACAGAGAGAGAGATAGAGCGAGAGGGAGAGAGAGAGAGAGAGAG